AGGCATTCACCTCAAACACGCAAGTTCTTCACTCACAGCTCTTGATGCTTTCCGATCGGTCTGCACGACGACGTGTCTGCACCGGATCCGCTGCGATGTTTCCAGTGGCGGTGCTGCCATCAGGGTGGAGATGACATCCCGGTGCATTCCACAGGCGTTGGGCTTTCTGCCAAGCTTGTCTACCACATCGAGTCTGCAATTCGCGCAGGCTGGGACGGGAAAGGTCGTTCGTACAAGGGGTTTTACAAGCGCATCGTCACACATGTCCAAGAAGCAAAGTAAGCCGGCAGGATCTTCAGGCTGGATTAAGATCAAGTCAGTGCCATGAGCATGGGTTGCTCTTCTCAAGTTTGTTTGCCTGATTTTGATGCTTTTCTTTCGTTTCACATCTAGCATTGACAACTGGCAAAGGGGGGTGATATCAGTGTCTCGGCATTGCTTTCGTGTCTTTTGGCATCAGCGCCTCGGTCAGTTGTTTGCAACTCAGGTGACCGCCAGAAGGGGGAGGGCTGCTTCTGACTGTATTGACTGATGGCAAACCCAAGATTGGAGCCCTAGTGAGTATGAAGGAGATGCAGATTCGACCTATGGAGTAGTGCTTGTGCTGCTTGGCGACTTCTAAATGTGACACCATAATAAATCAGAAACTTGGACGGACAGTGGAGAACAGTTTTCCATGCAAATCTCCTAGGAGCGATGGCCTCCAACTTATGCGACACTGCTTGCTTGTCTTGATTTCTATTTCTGCTTGTCTTGTGACGTGCCTGTCTACGTAAAGAGCTGTATCACACACAGTCAACCCAAAGTTTGGTTCACAGCACGGCGTAGTGTTGCCCATGTACATATAGCACACATCTTGACATTTTTCCACATATTCCATCCTTTTACCTGTCTTTATTCTATAAGGTCTAAGCTGCCTGCAGCAGCAGGACTAGCTGGAAAAGGTCCCAGTGTAACAGCTAAAAACAGCGGTATCCATCCTGAATCTGTTCTGCCAGAGATACACCACTGGGGCATGATGAAGCTGGCAGTTGCAAGTTGCAACCTCACCTCATGTCTCACTTCTGAGCACAGCAACAGGAACATTCGTGGCGTTTTGTTTCCAATGGAGCCACACCAACGTCTCACTCACATCATTGGTTGAAGACATGTATCACATGTGTTCACTGAAAAGAAACAGCAGGGCTGCTGAAGGCCTGTCCTAGTGACAAACTCTTAGTTTTATCGCACATTCGAGAAGTGTGTCAGGGTCAAAACTCAATAGACAGGCGGAACAGTTGACTTGTACAGGCATTCGAGGACATCTTGTCACACACACAAGGAACTTTCTGGTTAATGTTCTGTAGCAACGAAGGTCTCTTGCGAATCCAGGCACTGCGAAACCAAGCTGCTTCCAAGAATTGCATCATCAAAAGAGCAAGTTGAGAACAACTTAGGCTGGAAAATGCATCCTTCACTGGCGACTGATAGCTTCTTGCCCCACAAGACAGGAAACATATGCTTTGAAGGCACCCAAAGAGAACTGGTTTGTTTCATCCTCAGCCTTAGCGCCTGATGTTTCAGGGTTTTCATCACATGGCATTTCCTGTCAGAGTGTTTGGGCATAACAACGTAGCGAAGGGGCTGGGAACAAGACAAGAAAACCATGACTTCCAATCAAGATGCCATCATTGGACAAACTTTCTTCCAAAGCGGGTGAGCCTGACAGTTTAGCGAAGAAACCGCGACAAGAAAACCATGGCTTCCGACTAAGATCCCATCAGCAAACGATTGGCATACGACACTCCTTAGACAAGGGCTGCTGCTTTTGCTTTTAGCCGCCGCCCCTGGTGAACATTGAAGGTCGCCTGACGCATCCTGACCCCCTTACATCGTCAAAACAACTCATTGCAGGACCGCTCCAAAATTGTCCAACAGGGCGTGGTTTTCTCCTAACCGACAGGGACTTCAAGGGACGTCGGATGTCGACCTCCGACAGGAAGAATGAGAACTCTCACCTTAGAAACTTGGACGGACAGTGGAGAACAGTTCTCCATGCAAATCTTCTAGGAGCGATGGCCTCCAACTTAAGTGCGACGTCCTCCAACCTGCTAGCGATGGCCTCTAACTTCTGCGACACTGCTTGTCTTGATTTCTATTTCTGCTTGTCTTGTGACGTGCCTGTCTACGTAAAGAGCTGTATCACACACAGTCAACCGAAAGTTTGGTTCACAGCACGGCGTAGTGTTGCCCATGTACATATAGCACACATCTTGACATTTTTCCACATATTCCATCCTTTTACCTGTCTTTATTCTATAAGGTCTAAGCTGCCTGCAGCAGCAGGACTAGCTGGAAAAGGTCCCAGTGTAACAGCTAAAAACAGCGGTATCCATCCTGAATCTGTTCTGCCAGAGATACACCACTGGGGCATGATGAAGCTGGCAGTTGCAAGTTGCAACCTCACCTCATGTCTCACTTCTGAGCACAGCAACAGGAACATTCGTGGCGTTTTGTTTCCAATGGAGCCACACCAACGTCTCACTCACATCGTTGGTTGAAGACATGTATCACATGTGTTCACTGAAAAGAAACAGCAGGGCTGCTGAAGGTCTGTCCTAGTGACAAACTCTTAGTTTTATCTGCACAAAAACTTCAGACAGGACAACATCCTGAGATTTACACTTACACTAGCAATGAACGCAGTGCTCCGTGGCCAAATCAAAATGAAAGCACCGTGTCTGTTCCAAACAAGGACACCAAAATTGTTTCGACCTTGCTCTGGTTGGCAAAACTGAATATATCCCAAACCCACAGATGCTTGCCTGTGTCAGAAGATTTGTATCACAAGCTCTCACTTTGCATACTCAAGATTTGTGCGCACATTCGGGAAGTGTGTCAGGGTCAAAACTCAATAGACAGGCGGAACAGTTGACTTGTACAGGCATTCGAGGACATCTTGTCACACACAAGGAACTTTCTGGTTAACGTTCTGTAGCAACGAAGGTCTCTTGCGAATCCAGGCACTGCGAAACCAAGCTGCTTCCAAGAATTGCATCATCAAAAGAGCAAGTTGAGAACAACTTAGGCTGGAAAATGCATCCTTCACTGGCGACTAATAGCTTCTTGCCCCACAAGACAGGAAACATATGCTTTGAAGGCACCCAAAGAGAACTGGTTTGTTTCATCCTCAGCCTTAGCGCCTGATGTTTCAGGGTTTTCATCACATGGCATTTCCTGTCAGAGTGTTTGGGCATAACAACGTAGCGAAGGGGCTGGGAACAAGACAAGAAAACCATGACTTCCAATCAAGATGCCATCATTGGACAAACTGACTGACCTCAGAACAGTTGTCCTTCCACGGGAAATGGGACGGTCAACGCAAAGATGCTGCGGACATGGCGAGAAACATCGAGAAACTGATCCCCCAGTCGCACATGCAAACCTTGCAGTCTCCTAGTTTTGATCTTTTGGCGCTTTGCAGATAGCTTGTGGAAAGCCAGGTCAAGCTGATGGATGAGCTTTCGGTCAAGCTGTGGGAGCGAAGCTGCGGTCCTTTCTGCGACGGTCTTTGGGAGCGAAGCCGCTCTGCGTCTGTGGTCCCTGCAACTGGTTTAGGTTGTACGTCGGTTTACTCCACTCAGTACCAGCAATTCCTGTAAGACATTGTGGGTAAGCTTGTGGAACATGGCCTCGGGGTTAAGTATTCGACTGGAAGTGAAGCAATAAGGTCTTCGACTTTTCATGGGCGGGTTTGCTTCACTTGGACCAGCCTTTATCTTGTGAGTGCAAGCAATGGCACAGGCCCTTCAGCTGGTTGAACCAGTGTTGTGGTGAGAGTCCTTGAAAGCGGGCTTCCCGGTCGCAAAATTGCCATGCAGGTGGCTTCACAGAATTGTGGGCACCTGGCACGATCGTAGCACTGTCTGTACCTCCTCCAAACTCAGTACCCAAGATATCCACCTGCACCACAGGGCAGATTGAACTGGCATCCCGTTTGCTTGGAAAACGCAGTTGCGAACGAGAACCCACTGAACTCCGAAGCGTGCTGTTGCACCCGCGGCTCTCCCCTTCGAGAGGGGGCTGATGCAAAAATCCGAAGTCTCAGGATCAAGGTGGCCAATCGCCATGGCCTCAGGCACGGTCCCCTGCTAGTTGCGTCCTTGCTCCTAGTAGTAGGGCCAGGAACCCCTTGTAGCTTCTTGTTACTAATAGTAAGAATGTCCTAGTGGCGATGCCAGGAGCCCCGTTCGTAGCGTCCTTGCTCCGTTCGCAGCGATGCCCTTTGCTCCTAGTAGCGTTAGGGTGGCCAATCGGGCACCGGCACTGTCCGAGGTCAGGTCCCAACGGGTGAAAAGCCGCTTCTATTTGGCGATTTTCCACACATGGAATGGCCAGAGAAGGGCAAATCCCAGAAGTTTCGCATAGTTTCACCCTTTTGGGAACAAGGACCCCCTTTGAACATGAAAAGAATGTCCTCTCTTAAGTCCAGAAATCAACGAACACCTGGATGGGTTTCCAAGAGTGGACTCGAAACTACCCAACGACATCCAACAGCATTGCATCCAAACAGCAAATCGACATACATCGACTACATATCCCTTTTCATCCCTTTTCCATTCCTTGTCCATCCTGAAAAATTCTTTAAAACCCTCCCGCAGCCCGCCCTCCGGTCGTCTCGTTCCACGCTCGGTCGTTCGGACGCCCCAGTGGCACATCGTCGTCGGGTTCCCGTGGTGGCCGGGCCGGCCGCGCTTCCAAACGGTTTCGGCCGAATCGGCCCCTGCACATCCTTGGGAAGAGCAGTTGAGGCCCTTGGGCCCTCAAAGCGACAGTGAGCAGAGTACAGTGAGTGGTCCGACAAACATAGCGATTGGAGGGTCTTCTCTCTGCAAAACAAATTGGAAGAGAACCATGGGGCAGGCCATGATGTCGAGGGCTATCGAACAATTTTTTGTTGAAGCGCGTCCATTTCTGTACATCACTCCGCCCAGCTTGGCTGCGAGTCTGTACAAGGCAGCACAGCTGGAGCTGGCTTTGGGCTTCAAGCAGAAGTGCTGAACACACAAAGCCTGATGTGGAAGCACATCAAGCCAAAACAATCCAAAGCATGCTCTCTGCAACTGTCAATTAATTGCAACACAACGACATCCACGAGACCAACAAAAAACTGGGAAACGAAAAAACGGCCGATGAAAGCTCGTGAAAGCTTCATTCAGAGCTGCGGAATCAATTCACTCAGTCCCTTGTCATGAGTAGGGGTCTGAGCCATCAATGCTCGAGGTCATTTCCAGCTGATGCGAAATTTGATGAGGTCGTTGTCATTCACTGCGATTCAAGCAGCGTCTTCGCCAAAGTGTGCTGCCAGCAGCTGCCAATGCCTGGGCAGGTACAGGAATTAGTGAAAGTCCTTGCCGGGCATCCTTTTTGACACTGCCCGCCCTGTAAAACCAGGTTTCAAGAGGTTCTCGCATGTCCTAGCTTTTACCTTTCCCCCCCATGCAGGCGCAGTTTTTCACCACTTGCAATTATTCATTTGCATCTATTGTCACATTGCTGATGGGCCTTGAATGAAACGCATTCAGTGTGGGCAACGCATCATTCATAGTCAATCTTTGGTGTTACGACCATTTCGTAAGTAGCAAATGCACCGAAATGCTCACTTTGAAGCTTTGACATGTCAAAATTTGAGGACGTCTCGCACGACATGCTCAGAACCGTCATTGTGGGAACGGGACACGTCTGTGTGTGTGTGCCACCCTCCGTTTCCAGGAGTTTAAGCCCGATTCATTTGCAGGGGGTCGCTGGGGATTCGTGCAGTCAGCGACCAACGAAGACTCTGCACGTTTCCTGTGATATGAGTCGAGGACGCTCGACTCACGTACCTGCGACAGTTTTGAACTTTTGACCACGCTGTCTACTCCTCCGTTTTTTGTTTCCATGGTTCTTGCACGATAGACCCCTAAACCTCCTTTTTCCACCGCAGACTTGCAGCCGCGTTGATTGCCAGATCGTTTTTGAGTGCACTTGTAAACATTGTTGAAACATTCACCTCCGCGGACTCAGCCACCTTGCGTTTCCCTCATCCATTTCCGCGTGGAATTGAGTTAGCTGAAAACCCATTGTCACAGTGTGCGCCGCTCTGCCGTCCCACTTGGGTGCAGGGTGTGATCTCCCGCAAGGGAGCGCTGAAACCGCCGTGGATCACGTGTGACTTCGCGTTTTTCTGCACACGTTGGATTCTCACTCTTGGATTGAATGTTTCACCCAATGAATCTACTGCCATAACACTGCCGAGTTTACGGAGACTTGACGCCGCCGGGCATTCGGAGAATAAACCCCCGCCGGGTTCCCCTTTTCTCTAACCCCCCCTCTAATTAGGGTAACAGAAGGAAATGGTACTCGACACACTTGTGTGTCGGTGCCTTTCCTTCTGTTGTCCCTGTTCTAGTCTACTCTACCCGGGCGGTTTAAGACTAAAGTCCCGCTCCCTAGCTACTGCACGTAATTCATGTCTGCTAAGTAGTCAGTAACTAAAGTGCTAAGTAGTCATACACACACACATGGACACACACACATGAACATACATCCCCTCCCTGCCCCCCGCTTTCTCTCTTGTGCTTTCTTCGTTTCTTGGGCTTTCTTTCAGGCTCGTTAGGTTGTTCTTGTGGCTCGTTTCCCTGCGCCAGTCAAGGGCTACTCCTATCTTTTCTTCTTGCCCTTTTCGTTTTGCTCTTTCTGTTTTTCTTTTTCTTTCCTAAGGCTTTTTAGTTGTCTATTCAGGTTCTGTGAGAGAGCACCGCGAAGCGGTCGGGTGTGTGTGTGTGTGTGTCACCCTCCGCTTCCGGGAGTTTAAGCCCGATTCGTTTGCAGGGGGTCGCTGGGGATTCGTGCAGTCAGCGACCAACGAGGACGCTGCACGTTTCCTGTGATATGAGTCGAGGACGCTCGACTCATGTACCAGCGAAAATTTTGAACTTTTGACCACGCTGTCTACTCCTCCGTTTTTTGTTTCCATGGTTCTTGCACGATAGACCCTTAAACCTCCTTTTTCCACCGCAGACTTGCAGCCGCGTTGATTGCCAGATCGTTTTTGAGTGCACTTGCAAACATTGTTGAAACATTCACCTCCGCGGACTCAGCCACCGTGCGTTTCCCTCATCCATTTCCGCGTGGAATTGAGTTAACTGAAAACCCATTGTCAAAGTGTGTGTGTGTGAGTGTATGTAATGCGGGCGGATTCAATGAGGCATGTCGCTGGTGAGCCGCAATCAATCGTCTTGATGAGTTTATCACGCTTGCAAAGCCCGGGATGCTTGTTGATCTATACGTTTTGTTGTGTTGGGCTTTTGAAACTTTCACTCCCCAGCTTGCCCGGGTATACTACTTGCATGTCAAGATAAAAATGCACCCAAGCCTGGTAAACTTGCTTGCTATCTACCAATGATTTGCCCCGAATTGCACACACACAAGGGGATTGCCCTGGTTTGTCCACTTCCATGTTCGTTGTGGAGGGAGGTTCAAGACCAGCCTTTTTGGATCTTTTTTGGTTGGTGAGTCATGGTGAACCTCATTCTTTTCCATGGTTTCGATGGTAGAGGCATCGCCGTCGAGCTGCTCTGCTGGATCTTCGTAAACGCCCAGGCCCGACACGGAGCCATCACCAGCCTCCAAGATTGTCCAGCCTGGGGTCAATGGGATGGGTCGGATCAGAGCGGTCGAGGAACTTTTTTGTTTTCGATCCAAGCAACATCCGTCCCTCCAGAGCGTTTTGAAGGCATATGCGGCATGTGCAATCAGATTCGCTCAGTCTTCCCTAGTGAACATTGAGGGTTGCCCCAAAAAATCGTTTGGGGGTACTTGATTCCGGCTCGTTTTGCCCGGGGGAGTCCCAAATTGATCCCATCTTCAACACTGTCAAATCAACAAGCCCATCGAGCCTACCAAATGCACCGTCTTTTCCCTTCTCCTCCCAACTCTTCACTGACCTTGTTGCTGTAAACACCAGCACCCTTTCCTCAAATTCTCCACTCCTCCGATTCAGTGGCCCAGCTCTTTCCAAACGGCTTCACAAACGTGCCACGATCTTCCGCAGCGAACAAACGCATGACTCGCATGACTCGCCTGTGGAGGTTTCTGCCAGGTCAATGGTGAAGTAGGGACTGTCGATGGACTGGGCCATCTCCGTCACCTGAGAGAATTCCATCGGAGCACCGAACGGATCTGGAAAAGACCTCGGATCGGTACAGGTCCAATACATGGTGGTTGATCAATATTCTTTCATCCTGGAATGGCCATTCTTCGCGGAAAAAAGATATCTTTCGCGGATCTTTCGCGGCCTCATCGCGGAGCATGGTCCTACAGCCATGTCTAGAGTCTAGCTAACATGAGCCGGAACATGTCATAGTATCACAAAATAGGGACAAACATCTTGCAGCATGACCCCAGTAGAAGGTTGAACGTTTCCACAGCTACTCAGGGTCACTTGCAGCATCTGCGCGACAATTGTGCCAAATAGAATCAGGCACAACTCAACTCAATCCTCGTGCCAGCTACCAACACAGGGTGATGCAGCTTGGGGAGTGTTGGGGGGGGGCCTCAAGCTGGGAACTTGGACTTTAGCGGCACATTCGCGAAACTTTCGCGGATCCTTCGCAAAATTTCACTGGTGCTTTCCCTGGGAAGCCGTAACTTTTGCAAACATCTGCACAGCCCGTCAGAGCAGCTGCAGGTCGTTGCCTGACTGTCAGGGCTGTGCCTACTCAGGTTGCTAGTCTGTGACAGTGGGGACAGGAATCGGAGAATCCTTTACGCACTGCCAGGGCTGGGCACGGAAATGTTGAGGCTTCAGTTCGATAGTCTGTGACAGATGGGGACACTTCCGCCCACCGGCTCTGCCGGAGGATTGCCTTGTATTTCTATTCTTTGTCAGTCCGGTAGAAAGGAAACCATATGAAAGCGATGACCTTCGATAACTCTTTCGCGGAAAAAAACGATACTTTCGCGAACCTCATTGCGAATCTTTCGCGGATGGTTCTAACAACATCCGAAAGGCTGTTTTACATAAAACTCCTTACACGGGGTTTTCGATCAACTCCCACATCCAAAAAAACCCGACCCACCATTGATTTGATGTTTTTTTCCACGAACAAGCATGATTGTACAGAGGATTTTATACAACAAAACCAGGGGTTGAATACTAATTAACATCTATTAATCCTATTGACAATCTATAGTACACTACATTCCACCCATTCTCGAAATGGGCATTGACCATGATTCACCTCCATTTGCCGGACTCTCTGCAAAAACAATGGTTGATCTTTCAACCAGCGCCAGAAGGAACGCTGACAAACATGTTGCGATGCAGGGTTTACTCGTGGCGCTTGCCCATGTTTTTTCGCGGCCCATTGAGGCAAACCTGGAAACTGCAATGAAACCGGCCGGAACAGCCGCTCTAACGACCTCCAGTGCATGAGTACTGAGCCCCTCAGTTTCCCTGGAAAGAACAGGATAATATTTTCCGGTTCATGAGTGGGGCGTTAGACGTGTGAACGTGGAAAGATTCGTGGCAGGCGCAGGGAATCGTGAGGTTGTGAGTTGTGGTAGAGGTGAATGTCGCTGTGAAACCCATTTCCACAAGGTTTCAGGTTCTCCACTTTTCCTGGGTAGGGGTCGCAGCCCTGGCATCTGTGACCTCGAAAATACCAAACACCTGCATCGAACTCAACTGTTCAGTCGCACTCTGTTCATGTTCTAAGGGTCTCTGATTGGTACTGCGAGGAAGAGTCTTCACTGTATCATGCTGTCGGCCCGGGTATGCATATCTTTTACATTTGGTAAATGCACCAACAAACAAATTCCTTTCGGTTAGAGAACATTTTAAAACAATTCAAAACATATAAAACAACAGCACGCACACACACACACACACGACTCTGGTCACCCAATACAATCTGTAGGGATCTCCCATGCAATCTTCTGACTTTCCTGTCCACCTCCACAACCCCCAGCAAATGGAAAATAGATTCCCCAACACAACTCTCCCACCAGATCTCTTGCAACAACCCTCTCTCTCTCTCTCAAACTGACTCTTCCCATTCACGTCGCCCGCCCACATCCCACCGCCTGTTCTAGGACCTCTTTGGGAGGCTCATCTGCCTCTTCCTTCGGCATGACCCGCGAGGAGCTTGCGTTTCGTGGGAGTGGCAAGGCAAGGTCCAAACATGATAAGATGGGGCGACTGTTTTCGAACAGGTGTTCTTTGGCCTCCAACCTACTAGCGATGGCATCCAACCTAGTAGCTGTTTGCTGCTAGTAATGCCAGGAGCTACGGCCGTAGATTGACACCCAAGATCACCCAAGCCTACACGCAAGTCTTCTTGCATAACCATGCAAAACCCCAAACCGCCCCAGCAAGCGACACAAAACACCTGTGTCACGTGAGAGAAACATCAAACAACGTGCTTGACAAGAGAAACAACAGCGGGCCGGGGTACAAACCTTTGGTGCAATTGAGACAGTGTGCAAAGGAAGGAACGTGTTCGCACTATTATGTTCCAAAATTACATTACTTCGAGTGATCATCTCTTCTGACATTCTTTCTGGCATATCTTTTGACATTCTATCTGGCATTTCTTCTGACATTCTTTCTGGCATATCTTTTGACATTCCATCTGGCATCTCTTCTGACATATCTGGCATATCTTTTGACATTCCATCTCTTCTGACATTCTATCTGGCATATCTTTTGAAATTATATCTGGCATCTCTTCTGACATTCTATCTGGCATACCTTTTGACATTCTATCTGGCATATCTTCTGCATATCTTCATATCTTCTGATACTCTTTCTGGCGCTCCATCTGGCATATCTTCTGACTCAGGTCCGGCGGGTCCGGCGGAACTGCACTTGCGGTTGAGGTCCGGAGGAGGAGGACGACGGCAGCTGACATAGAATCTAACAACCCTCACCTGACAGGTGGGGAAAAACACAGCATGTCCAACCGTGTTTTCGTGAGGTTATTCGCACGATACTCTAGTGGGCATTTTGGAAGGCCTGAACACGGGCAGGTTGCGCCAATCACATCATCTGATACACAAACACCAGGCTTCTTGTTTCCACAAGTACTGCAAAATCCTTTGAGTAAATGGCTCACCACGCCTGGAAGGAGTTCGCAGCTACCTTCACCAGTTGCTGGCACATAAACCACAAGCGCCATTCGTTGGTGGTGTACCCAGCGCGACCAGCGTATCTCCTGAGCTCAGTGAGCTATGGAGAAAACATCCCAGAATACGCTTGTTGGATTGCCATCCGCAAGCCCTTGTGCATCCCCAAGTTGAAGACGATCAAAACCACACCTACTGAATGGTACGGGACACCAATCTTGCAGAAGTCCATATAATTAGACTTTCTTGAGTTATATAATATAGCCTGTAGAGCAGGCTATTCTTTCTCTGATTCATCAAATCCATCACCTCGCGAAAGACCGTCCAAGTGAGTGGAATCTCGCGAAAGACCGTTGCTACGACCTCGCTCTGTTCTTTTGATCACACCGAATAAATTCCTAGCCACCCGAATTCCTAGCCCTAAAACCCCTTAATCAAACCTCCCCTGTTGTTTTCAAGCCAGTACCTTTTTTGGGGGGGCAACCTACTCAAGTCCCTCCCTCTTCTCATCATGAGGAAGAGACTCTCTTTGGTGGATTGGTGAGAATGGGAGAGCACGACTTGGGTTTTGCCCGTCGTTGGGATTGCATCAACTCGCAACGTGAACATCAAAGAACCTTAAGCCTTGAACCTTCTTCCCGGTGCTTTGATTCCCACATTTGTTCTTCAGGCTTTGGTCTCTTGGACACAAGCGGGCTGAGGGTCACTATGTGAACGAGCGGGAGTCCCATAGTCTTTCTCTGGCTGATTCGGAGACAAAGAGGAGTAATGCGCCCACAAAGCAAGTGAACTCGATACGGATGTGTTTAGAGGTCAACACACAAAAAACTCCGTTGTTACAACCAAAACATACCAAAACCCTCCCCCAGAAAGTAGGATCAAGTTGCATCAACTCGACGTACTCTTTGAACACCACACCTGCGGCAAAATCAAAAGACGGCTCGACCTTTGAACAGTTCATGGGCAAGTGGACTTTGCAAGCAATCTTCAATCAGGAGCCATCTCACAGAAATGGAAACGAAGAGACTGGCTTCACATGAGTAATCAATCTTCAGTGCACTGGCTTCACATGGCTTCAGTGGAACTGGCTTCACATGGCTTCACCACTGGACGGAGGGCCATCGGATCGTTGGTCTTTTTCCGCTTCCTCCACGAGGCGCCATGCTCTACTCTTTTACTCTCCAGAGTTCTTCGCCTGCCAAACACCCTCAAATCATGTTCGTGCCGAAGGAGGCACCCACCCAGAACCCAACAGGGTACATGAACACCGCGAAAAGCTTTGCCAAATTAGGGATCTTCTTTTAGGCATCCGGCAACCGAAGCGTCGCAATTTGGAATTGCTCGTACAATGCCTTATCCTCTCTTCGTCCACTTGTACCAGGACCATCGAAGTTCTCTCCGGAGTTCTACTCCAGTCAAGTGAAATGCTTTTGCTCGTGCCGCGTCAAATGCTTTCCATATGTTTTTATCGAACTGGGAGGTCTACCATGTGGTGAGGTGGGTAACTTGGCGGCCGCGGCTGTGGCTGACTAGTGGGTGCGCTCAGCCCTGGGCACTTGCAAACCCATCCTTCCTCCTCTCACATCCATTCCGGTGGGTCGTCTCCGCCGAGGTCCGCTTCCCGAGGTCCGCTGTGAAGTCCGGCCTTCATTGAAGCGCTCACCTCGCGCGCGGACAAAGTCCATGGCCACCTCGGCAAGATCCTCGTCGACGGGCACTTGGAGGAAGCCTCGGAGTGCGCCGCTTGAGAAGAACTCGTTTTTACCTTCTTCCTTCCAATTTGGCATGTTTACAGACCTTTGACATCAGGGTGGTCAAGCATGTTGCTGAACACTGAACATGGAACAAGTCCAGAAAGCATGATAAATGCCACCCGATGTAGAGATACTGATCTCCATTGGCTCATCTCGCTTAGTGCGATGGCCGTGGCCGATCGGCCATCGACCCGGCCCATGGCCGACGCCCCATGTGGACGGTGACGACCGCACGACGCTCACGACACTCAGACGTTCGAGTCGCGTCCGCTCCACCGGTCGTCGCTTCGTTCGCTACCGGGGACACGGACACCATCTCACCATCTCGGGCCAAGGCTTCGTCCAAGCCGTACAACCGCACGGTTCGGCGATTGTTCGGAAGGTGCGCGTTGTGCAGGTGAAGCTATCGTCAATGGCATGTGGCAAACGGTGCCCAACAGGGTATGTCCTAAAGTATCCTAAAGTGGCATGCTCACCAGCAAGGGGCACAGCAAACCACATCACCAAGCGTAAACCAAAGCAATGAGAAGCCCTGCTCAGGGCGGACAAAGCGGAGCCATCACTCAGCACAAAGGTGCGGCCCTGGCGCCGTGCCCGCCTGTCACCTTCCAACACCGCGCGTTTCGTCCACCGGTGAATAGACGCATATATGCGTGCTACGAGTGCTATGGTCAGTCATTTCTTCACCATAGACTAAGACTGCTCGGCCGTTCAACATGTGAAGCACCTCGCCAGTCCAATCGTCTTTTAGTTGGGGGAAACGGCTTCATTCAGCTCCAAATCTCATAGGACTTTTTTGTCGAAAGGAACTCTACAGGAAAACCTAGGCAACTTGGACTTTTCCTCTCATCCAACATCTTAGATCCAGGGAATTAATCAGTTGATGTTGATGGGAAAACATGTCTCCCTCACAGGATCAGAGCAAAGAACAGGTTTGGATGAGGACCACGCGAGACGCCCCGACCGAATCATTCCAAGCTGCGGCTCCCCTGCGCCTTCCAAGCAAGGCGAGGGCGGAGAGGGTGGTGTTTTGTCTGCATTTTTCTGGCTGGGTATGATGTGGGAAGCATGCAGAATCGGAGTGTGACGTGATATGATCCTTCTCTTCATTTCTTCTGTCCTTGTGTTTTCTCCAGCGGCACGTGGATTTCCGGAATCACACGACCAAAAGAGATACAGTACACAAATTATGAATTTCCGGGATCGCACCTACATTTTCGCGATCACCCGAAGCACGGAAGTTGAATGCAAACGCCTTGGCCGCGCCTCAAAACCTCATGGTAAATCATGGTAATATGTGACGTGGCCGCGGCTGATCTGCGGACCCCCGATATCACCAATCGCGTACTGTAAGTAAGGTGAGGTAAATGCCTATACTACCTGAGCAATTGGGGTTTCGGAAATGCCAGATCGGAGTAATGCACCTTGAATGTCTATACTACCTGAACATACCTGAACCCCAATTTGGGCTTCCAGACCGACCAATCACTGTGTCAATGTCTATTCCGTCCCTCGCTCCCATCCATCCCTAACTCGGTTCGACCTTGGCACTCTTCACGTAATCCTTCAAGACCACGTAGCGGCAGTTCCAACCTCAGGGCGGTCAGGGCGGCGGTCGACCGTCCCGCGCAGAGGCCGACCGAGCCTAGCTGTGCGATGTCAGACTGAGGGCAACGTGTGATGTCGGTGGGGTGGGGATGACTCTGACAGGTCAAAAAGCACCTCATGGGCTCAGCCAGGAATTTTGTCCAAACTCAATTCGCACACTTACAACGCTCCTTGTCCAGAAAAAGACCTTGAGCCGCGGTAGTAGTTGACAGGGCTTTTCCGGAATGCAATATTCCATATTACAAGTTTACAAGGTTACAAAAGAGAGAATTGCAGTGCCCATACCACAGTGAGGAACGGTACGTCTCATGAATCTATTGGCAGAGTTTGGCGACACAACAATGGTGACCACAGCTAGCAGCTCTCGGCTTGAGGATTTTTCATGGACCAGGGCCTTTTGGTCCAAGCCATGTTGAAAAAAGAGTGGATGAGTAGATGAATGTAGATGAAGGCCTCAGGTTGGGAATGAAGGGCAGTTTCTCGGTGTCGAAGTTCATTTCCACTGACGCACGAGAACTGCTCATCTTGGGTCATGAGCCCCTCAGAACTGACAGGGGGTTGGGACGTTTTGGCCCTCCTTGCCCTCTTCAGCCTCTTCCGCTTTCATGACAGACCCCTTTTCAGCCATTGGGGCGGCTAAAAAGGACTCGCCAGTTTGTGGGACACAGAACTGCTACCGTTCCACTCTCACAGTCTCACATCTCTTGGACAAAAAGAGAAAACACCTTCTTTATCCTGCTGGGTATTCAGAACATGATCTTGAATCTTGAGGCCACAGCATTTTCTGTTTTCTGAGTTAGACCATCTGCTTTCTGAATGGTCAACCAACATATTTCCTCTAACCATGGTGCCATCCTGACGCCCACATGGAGGCCTTCCCATGCGGGGTTTGGCACCATGGGATGATTTCTTTTTAGTCCTTGATGTAAAAACCTGTTGTCCGCCAAGCTGCTCTGTACGACCGCCACCGCCTAGCAGCCGTGACAGGGAACGCTGGGCCAGGGAACGGCCCACTCGCAGCGGACGTGGGAGTTTTCAGTGCCTGTCAGTGTCTGACATTGGAAAGAGCGCCGGTCCAAAGTTAGAGCACATTTTGCATGGCTCTTGATCACGTGCACAGGAGGGTACTCGCGACACCAATGATTTCAATGATTGATCATGTTGTTGGGAGAATCCCTACGAATCCCTCAACTAGTTCAAACGAAAAGCGCGTGGCTCGAGCTCTTCCAAAGGTCCATGCTAGTTCTTCAGAGTGTCACGGGTCTAGGTTTCAAACCATTTAAATCCACTTGAACCTTCGGTGGGACCTCCTCACCCAGCGCATCCCGGTTGCGGAACCAGTGTCCGCCTATCACTTTCCACCCAGTTCCGGCTGAAACTGCCCGAGCTCGTTCGCTCGGGGCCTCGCCTCCTGGAAGAGCTCGGCCCGCGGTTCCGAGCTCAGATCCACCGGCTGCCAGGTCGCGCGCGGGGCGAGCGCTCGGAGGGCATCATAGGTGGAAGGGAAGAAGTGAGCGTTGCCTGGGAGCGGGTGAGGGATACAAAAAATTAAAAAGGAAGTTTAAACAAACCACAGGGGATCAAACAAATAAAAAGGTAATCAAACAAAATATTCTAGCCCATCGCATCGTCCAAAGAAGGCGTGTTTCTCGCGAAAACGTGCAGCGGTGAAACCACTGGTGGGCAATCACCTCGAGGTGCTATCGTGTTCTGTTCTCCACTGCCCTCCAAACCATGGACATGCTATGATTGGCGTGTCTGCGCCAAAACACATTAGCCGACTAAATCAACAAAAAAAGAACAGGATCAAAACAATTACCTCACGGTGCTAGACTACAATTTCTGTAAGACAGTTGTCTCTGAGTGGACCAAAGGCCGAGTCCAGGACCAGAAGAGCATAGAAGAGCAGTGGATTAGGAGACCAAGGGAAGAGGATGGAAGGAGTAGGGGACTAGGAGAGTGTACCTCTCTAGGAGCTCCTTCCTAATAGGGAGCTATTTCTACTGGTGAACCATTTTTCGAGCAGGGCTACTCAATGACTGGACAGCTACCTTATCATTGGGTACCTACTTCCCTCCCAGGGAGCTACCTCTAGTAGAAAGCTATCAAGCCTCTATTTGCGCAAGCAGGGGACCAGGAGACCGAAAGACGAGCGCAGTAGGAGAGCAAGAGACCAGCGGACCAGGAGACAGAAGGACCAGGATACCAGGGGACCAGCGGACCACAGGACCAGGAGACCAAAGGACCAGTGGACCAAGGGACCTTGTTACCAGAGGACTAGGAATATTTTTTTGATCCTTTTTATTTTTTTGTTGATCTAGATGCCCCTGGGAGCGCCAGTTGCCGTGCATTTGCAGATTTTTGGACCGGACGAAAAGTGGAGGGGGAACAAAGAGCATGTTTGGGTGTGTATTAGGGAGACCGCCCAGTTTGACCTCCATTTGGCCAGGGAGTCTTCCTATTGAAATATACAACCCATATGAAAGCCCACTGCTTCACCAAATGACCCGTCAAGCGGCTGTTTTGATAGGTAAAGATGTCCTTTTACCATTGCTGTTAGACTTCAACTCTTGCAGTTGCTGAAAAGAATCCTGGAACTCCAAAGAGCAGCTATGACATGCGCAACAGCATGGAGCAGTGCTTTCTCAAAGGGAAACACATGGTTCTTTGAGAGTGAGTGAGAGAACACAACTTGCTCTCCGTTTCGATCTTTCGCATTGTTCCCCAAAGGGAGCGAGTCTTTCAATGGCTTTTTGGAGCCTCCCCAACATGGACACAACCACATGGCCGTCGTTCCTCTGCTCGCTTCGGTTCGCTTCCCGTTCGCAGTGGCCACCCCTCGGTGACTCCAAAGCACCCGACAACGGACGTGAGGGAGCTACTGCGCGTCGTCCCCAGCATATGTTTCCAACTCTGCATACCCGAGCAAGCCACGGCAATCATACATATAGGCTACATATGCTACATTGATGAATGAAAAATGATCATCGGTGGGTCCCGCAGGTGGTGTTTCCGGACGGAAGAAACCGGGTTCCGGAGCAAAGGTGGGGGTTGGGGTTGGGAAGCACGAGCAAGCTTTCGATACCAGTATATACTGCTTTCGATCTATTTCCATACATAGATTGTCTGCAATAGGGCAGGCACCGGAAAGAATGGCCGCTCCTCAGCTAAGTGCATGTCAGCCTCAATAGAATGTATTGTGTTCCATGGAGCCTCTGGAAAGGGCTATGCGTTGACCCACTCTGGAATGCCCCCATTCAAAGATCTCCATCTGCGGCCGGGCGGCTATATTGCGAAGGCCTCGGCGGGAAACACTCTTTCTTGAACTGAAAGGAAAAAAGCAAGGGTGCTTTATCCACCGGTCAACAAACATCAATATACCCAGGTGTTTTGGACTATCCTTTTTACCCACGGTATTCTTTGCATGCTTAAGGTCTGGTATGACCTCGGAACGATGACCCACCATTGCATGCGCATGGAGGTCACTAACAGTGCAAACCAAATCGCGGCACGAGTGTGCTGCAGTTGAGGCCCGAGCGTGCTGAGAGATTGAGAAGCCATGGTTGACCACCACTAACAGTGCAAGCGCCTTCGAGAATTCTTTTTGCAACCATCTGCAAAGGATAGATCGGATAGATATGTGCTTCCTGAACACAACACATTTAACAACACAAAAAAATTTCCGAACGACTTCCCTGCTTGGAGTATCGCATGGAAATGCATGGAAGTTCAGGAATGGGTTCCGAACTGGCCGCCAAAAACATGCTTTCCTGGGATGACAAAATCATACAAAGTCTAAAGGTATAGCTCATCAACCGCTTGGGCATTTGCCAATCTCCCAATGGTTTCCAGGCAAAACCCGTTCTTCTTGCCTCTGGGTGGGTCGTTTGGGGTCGTTGGTGCCGCCCAGTTCGAGGGGCTGATGGTCTCACCGCTCTTGAGTGGACCTCTGGACTCCCCCCCTTGGCGGACCTGGCGTGCTGGGTGACTGAACAACGTCGTGCTGAGCGGTGTTCTACCCGCAAAGATCGAGGTGTTCATCCATCAACACTAGGCAACACACGAGCGGCTCAGTGAAGAACAAAGGGGGAAGGTCCAGGTTTGATCCTAGGATTCAAACCAACCACCGTTTTAGTGGTCTGAATCCCGAACAACCCTTGTTTTACTAAGGATTTCACACTGTTCAGGTCGGCCAGGTTTTAACATGGTCTTGGAAGGCGAGGGTTTAGAACACAACGAGCTTCCAACGGCGGTGCTTCGCTTCCAAGGGACGAAACCACGAGCTCGAGCCCCTGCGCCATCAAGCTCTCGTGGAGAAACCTGAGGTTTCTCGCCACTCCCAAGGGACAGCTATTTCCATCTCCAAAGGACACCGCATCCCAAAGAGGTGGACATGTCTCTATGCCATGCAAATACTTTTTCTAGGACAAGGGATCTAAAAAAGGTAAACTATGCATACACACATGGGTGAAATTGGCTAACAACATGGCGGTTGATGAACCATATGAACCTCTCCGCGGACCATCACCTATCTTCGGGCCGACTTGGCCGGCTACGCGCGTGCTGCTCAATGTTGGGTCCTTTCTGCTACAAGATCAAGCACAGAAGGGAGTACATGCATATATATATATATATATGCCATGTATTGCATATCACTCCAACCAACAAACCCATCCATTTCAAGAACTTCCTGTGACTGGCATGTGTTGTTTCACTTGTTGCAAGACATTTGAAGTGCTGGTCACCGCCACTCCGTCCTCGCTGGTCACCGCTCCGTCCTCGCTCCGGGCCACGCTCGGCGCTGCCGCGAAAGCATGAAGCCGCGGAAGACCGCGCGGGTCGGAGCCGGAGGAGCGTCGAAGCCTGGCGGAACTGGTCGGAGCCGGTGGAGCTGGACCAATCCCCCACCTCTGTGAGCAGACCTTCGTTGCCACAAGTAGCTTTCCCCTGAAATGCCAGGAACTTTTTTCCACTCTCGCTCAGACTCAAAGCACGGGAAAGGCCAAACAACCCAGCGCTGTCATGAAAGGTGGTTACTGGTTCCTTCTGTTGATCGTTGTGACTGTCCGCAGGAGACTCCGCCGGCGCCAACAGGGATAAGACCGGGGAACAACTAAAAGATGCCAGGAGTCTTGCTAGGAGTCTTGCTTCCTGATTCTGACACAGTTGCGATATGTTGCTTCCCTGAGCACACGATCCTCATTCCTTAGCCGCCTTAGCCCTTTCGACACAGATTTCCATATTTAGAAAGACCTTCAAAACATTTGAACACATACAAACGCAGCGCCTTTAAGGCGATCGCGCTGTTGACATGCTTTGAAAGCAAATTGTTCAACGTCAATGTTGTCAACACTAAGGTCTTAGCGCGTTGTTTTTTTTGCCTATGCCTATGCCAAGGGCGCATTGAGTTTATGTTCAAAACACTGTCTTCCGTGTGGGCTTATCTGTCTTAAACAGAACGTGGGATCATGATGGATCATGAAAAGTTTGAGATGAGTATGTTCTCCATGAGTCTCTTTCTGGAATAGGTGTTTGGTTGTTGCTCATCTGCTGGCGTCGCTTCCAAATGCTCACCCGCTTGTGCTTTTGGGCGCAGAAAGGCCCCGTGTCTGCTTGTCTCGTCCCGGGCGTTTTCGCGAAGCTGCCAGAGCCAGCGAAGAAGCTGGAGCTGGAATGCGGCCGGAGTCAACTTGGCATTCGACTATAAATGAAACACCGTGCGCTTCACTTTGCTTCAAACACCATCTCTCGAGAGTCTGCGAAAAGCAGATGCAGATGCGTGCTCTGGTTTGAATCTTGAAATGACGAACTGTCCGGACGCTTTCACCTGACGGGACACGTCGCCCGGCGCTTTCAGTGGACGCGTGCGTTCGACTGCGCCCCTATAGTACAAGGTAGTCTTTGAAGACACTGCTTGAGATCAATTTGTCTGCAGGATTTCGTTGGTGCCGCCTTGTTTGGCACCCGCAGCTGCAGCCCGTTTGGCACCGCCCAACCACCGGTCCCATCCTTCGGGCCACGGAACCCGCAGAAAGAAGAACTCAGAACCAACGGCCACCGCAAGCGCCCGTTTGTTTGCGTGTTTCTTTTTTTTTTGGAGACAGTCGCATTTTTTTGTGTTCCGACAGGGGGTCTCTTCTTTCGGTAGACAAGGGGATTCTGGGACTCTTTTGGAGATCCAGCTTCGCAGCTTCACCCAGAACTTCGGTGAAGAGATGGCGCGCCCAGGCCCCCGAGATCGACCTCGCCCGTCGTTCCTTGAGATCGACCTCGCCTGGGCTCAGCTGCGCCTCGTGGGCGAAGCGGAGCCGTTGCACCGCCCAGCCGCTGGAGTGGGTGGCTTGGGCCTCCTCGACACCCAGCGGATGACGGAGGACGAGGGCCGAGTCGGGTCTTGTCTGAAAGAGCCTTCATCGGAGTGCATCTACACTGTTTCACGAGGTTTGGTACTACAAATGTATGCCTGTCTTGGATTCAAATGGGTTTCATCTGGTGGGTAATTACCAAACCCAAACCCATGCTGCAAAGCTGTCTGTGCTCATGATGTTGTCATCTTGTCTAGATTTGTTTCACACATCTCTAGACAACACAGGCATGTCTTGTTAACACAGGCAAGGTATGCTTCACATAGTATGGTTGACCGGCCTGAAAACAGAGCAGCCCCTCATGCGACTCAGACTCACCGAGGCCAACTAAGTGCCAACCAGCAAGCTGGTGGATGAACTTCCCACTTGTTGAGTCGTTGAGTTCTTATTTTTGACTTCATACACTCCCTGGAAGAAATCATGGAAGTGAAACAACCCACCGATTTTGGTCTAAACTCGGGGGGCGTTTTCCCATCCACTTCCACCATGGATGAGGGAGTAGCTCTCACCGGTCTCCTCATCAAACTCAGGATCCTCCGGCATCAACGCGACTGGCCTCACTGCTCCACGGTAGCAGGTGGGCTTTAGTTCCAAAGGAAGCCGAACGAAGCCGATGTCAAACCCCAAAGCACGACAGTAGGTGTTACGCGATACGTGGATAGCGAGTGCCTTTTTGCTGGATGATCTTGTGGTGTAATATGCCTCTTCTGCTTTCCTACTATGCTGCCCTGCACGCATGGACAGGCATTGTTCTGGGTGACAGGCATTGTGGCCATGGCTCCAGCAGTTCTCCCGCGCGTGCACGTTGGATGTATGCTTAATAGCTATGTCATATAGCTGTCGATGTTGCCGTGTCATTGGACAAATTGTATTGGACTTGGACTTCGTTCCATTCGATAGGGACGCTTTAGTATCCCTTCAGCTGTTTAGTATCCTTCGATGACTCTTGATCTATGAGCTCCGAAGTAACTCTTGACATAAGAGCTGCTCTTGATACATCCTTGATAACTCGATTCTTCGATCATCCTTTCGCTCTTTTCGGACTTGCACGGCCCAGCCTGATTTCTGAACGGACACTAATTTTAGCTGGCTAGTGCACACTGAGGCCTATGCAGAAGTCTTCAGGATCATTTTTGTCCATTGAGGTTTGGTCTATCTCACTACCATGACTAGCAAAGGCCTTTCTCTAAACATGTGATCATTGTCTACCGACTACAGGTAGGACAGACCCGGTTCGGACCCATGTGACCCATGACTTCCGTTTGACGGCCCATGACCGGAAGTGGGACTCTGTTTTCACTGCTCTCCGACCGATGGCAGCTATTCTTGAAGTACATCGTACACTGGTACACTCTTCAATTCCACGACTTGAATCCCGGTCCTGAGCAAAGCCCGGAATGGGAAAACACCAAGACTGAAAAACCCACCGAACGCACTAACGCATGTTGCTTGAACGCACGTTCCACGCACACAAAGCCGTTGTGATCAGCCGTTCGATGGTTTTTCTTCATAATTCAACGGCTGCAGGCTCCACATGTCGAGGAACGAGCATTTCATGGTCTCACAGAGCATGAAACATGGATTCCATCGACCACTCAACAATACTCAACAACTCAAAGGCAGCAATCAAAACAAACCTCGAATCAACCTGAACCTACAACATGTTGCACATTGTCCACAATTCCTTGTTTTCGGGTCAGAAAACCACACACACATTGCTCTCTGCAACCAGTCTACCCCTGTAAGAAGAAACCTTCAACTTCGTTCGCGGGTCGCTGGGTCGGGCCCTTTTTTGGCGGTCTCTCCGCTGCGGTCTCCGACGCGACGCGAACATCGCGAGCGAGACGCTGGCGACAGCACCTCCTGAGTCTCTGCAGGTGGCGTGAAGACGTCTCGCTGCGGTCCCCGACACCTTTCGCCCCGCGCGTGGGCGTGGGTCGCGAGAAGTTGGGCTTTGATGGACAGCGATGGGCGGATCTCGGGGTCTGGGGATTTTGTAAGTGTGTTCCTCCATGTACTCTTGCTGTGGGGATATGTTTCGAGGATAAGGATTGTGTCTTGCCATTCAAGTTCTTTGGGAACAAGTATGCCGACTTCGAGGGAATTGTCCGTCCACAAGAAGGTTTTACCCACCCTCGCAAAAACATAAAAACTGGGAAAGTCATGCCCATGATTGCCCATGATGCCATTATTTTTTAACCTTTTCTTCTAACATTCTAGAATTTATTTCAATGTTAAATGTTTGCGAGAACCAAGACTTGACCCTGGAGAGAACTCAAACCATTCAGTTTGGGGCCCATAGAATCCTGATCCAGGATGACTAGATCAAGTCTTCAAGTCTCCTCGGCCCTTCTCGCAGGAGGTCGGCTCGATCCAAGGGAAGTCACTCGAACCAGAAGGGGTGTCGGACATCGAATGGGACGAGGTCTTTGAGCATACGGTACTGTTTCCTGTTTCCTAGTGTGCTGACGGCTGAACCACGTTTTGTAAAATACACCACATTGTAAACATATCAGTTGTGGAGGAATCCTTGAACAGAATCTGGCCGGCCTCGGATGCCAAAACCAGGTACTACCATTCCCTATACGAATGTCGCAAGAATCAGTTCATGGCACTGGGGAATAGCTGTGGAACCAAAACTCCTTCAGTGTGCCAACAACAAGCTCCTTTGAGCAAACGTCGAGATGGAACATGCCCCTTTGGAAGATGATGTTCCTTTGCAAGCTAGAACTGTCCAGTTTCCATCAGTGCCCGTGCAACTACCACACGTCCTGATTTACCACGTCAAGTAACTCTAGGCTGGCTAAAAGATGCTAAAAGACTTGAATCTTTGCTTCCTCCAAAGGGTATGTAAATATGGTATAGAGATGTACAAAGGGATTCTATTAAACAACTCATCTTGGCAAAACTTTCAGTTTTTATTCCATTCAAAAACACTCAAAACCTGTAAGTAGTTTTGTGATGATCTGAGCCATAAGACGCCCCTTCTGGCCAACTGACCTCCGTCATCGCCCAGTCTGACCAATTCATCGGCGTCCGCCGGTCACCAGGAAAACGGCCGAGATTCACCCGGAGGTTTCGGCGATTTCATTTTTTTTTGTTCCGGTACTTCCGAAGGGGTGCCGAACTTGGAGGATAGGGATGCCCAAAACATCCACTCATTTAGACTAAAAACCACCTGTTTCTGACTGATCCTGGTTGTTTGTTTATTCAACTTCTCAGTATTTTTTGAGCGTTGATTCTCCAATTGGCAAGGCTAATGAAACTGTTGGACAGTGGATTCGGTGATCGAAGCTGACGTAACTGGCGTAACTCATGTTTCTTTTGGTGCGTTGCGGGCCCTGATGGACGGTCGATTTGTATATCCCATTTGACATTCAGAACCCACAAACATGGATGGTCATGTGAGGGTTCCAAACTTTGCCAGTGGAAGCGTTGTAATGCTCTATGTTTACCTCCAAAAAATACTCTAAACTTTTTGTTTCTGGGAACATGGGTTCAAGGATGTCCGATTTTTGTCTCTTAGGTTGGGGCGTTCGCATCCTCTTTGGCCAATCTTGGAATCGTGCCTCCAAACTAATTGTTGCTCTCACACACATAAAGCAGACTTGCGTGGAAATCTTGCGCGCAAATTGATACTCATAGAGAGACTCTAATTCTACTCGCCCATATGAAACCAAAGAATTCTCTGCACCTTTGCATGTGCGCCCATTGAAACTCCGTTGTACCTCTGCAACAGGCTTATCTTTTGGTGCGAATGCACTCGGTGAAGCCGGCCCCTCGGCGTTCCGCCGCCGCAACGGAGCTAAGATGGGATCAGCAGGATGTCTCGTCTGACGGGAACTGACATAACCATGGAAGTGAATCCTAAAAAAACGCCGTTGGGTTTCAAAGCTGCCGTCCGGCAGCCTTTCCGGCCGCATTTTCGCACAGAACAACATGGGCCTGGCGGAGCTTTGCCACGCCAGGGCTTGCCAACCTTCTTCTACTGGGTTTCGAAGCTGCCGTCTGGCATCCTTTCAGGCCGCTTTTGCGCGCAGAACAACATGGACTAGGGGCTTGGCCAAGCCGTGCCACGCCGGAGCTTGCCAACATTATTTTACTTGGTTTCGAAGCTGCCTCTGCGGAAACCCCTGCAAAACGGATGGGCCATGATGAACTGCAAGAGTGGCTGGAACATGGTGATTCTCAAAATATTGCCAGCAATGATAAAGCCGGCGCAGTTTGCCTATGAGTCTCCCGTTCAGAAGCGGCGAGCTGTGTTGCTCTCAGAGTTGCTGCCCAGAGAACAGGAGACATTGAACAAGTTGCGCAAGATTGCCAAAAAGAAAGCGGCGAAATTGAGACATCTGCTCCGACGAACCACAACACTGTCAAAAAGACATTATATTACCGCCGTTCCCGTTGTTCCAGGACTCCAGGATCCAGTGATTTTGGAGATGAGGATGGAACTCGAAATTGTACAGGGCTTAAATTCTAACGTCTTGAAATCATAGTTAATCATCACTTCCAAGCTCGCCACTTTTCCACGATGACTGGTCGGGCATCAGTCAACCACCTCTTTCAAAGCTCTGCGCCTTCGGAAGCTCAGCTGTGCCTTGAATGTGGTTCCAGCCAACAGAAGCCAAACGGATGATGGGCCCCCGCCCCCCTCTGCAACAGATTCAGGTGGCAAGAACTTTGGACCAAGTTCTGGCCCCGCACCCACGGCGTAAACGAGTCTCAAGAACAAGCTGGCCACGATAGCCACATATCCTTTGACGTCCACCAAAGGCTCAAAGCATTCCTTGCACTCGTCATCCTCAATCTCATAGAACTCGTCAGTCTCTTCATCTGTTCGAACTATTCCAACTCTCCATGAATATTTCTCCTCTCTACCATCTTGTCGAGGCGTGGTCAAGTCAAACACCCAACGATGCTGCCTCCGGCGGGGTCTGCAAACGAACCATCTTCACGGAGGCATACTGAGTCGATGATGTCCCCGTAATTCCTGTTTGGCCTATAGATGATGAACTCGCACCACCAGGGTTGGTCGTCTACTGCTCCTCAATCCGATTCACACGCTTCCAACAGTCCTTGGCAAAATGCACCATCTTTCCACAAACGTGGCACGCACCGGACTTGCCACTCTTTACACTCTTGTCTGGGCTCTTTCCCTTCTTCCCTCAACCTTGCTCCCACGAAGAGCGCCCTTTGTCATTGCCTTTCCAAGCACCTTTCCTATCTTTGTTCTTGCCCTTGTCCTTTCCTTTGGACTTTCCTTTGTCTTTGCCACCTTTCGTGCCACCCTTCTTGCCCTTGTCATAGGCCTTGCCGATGTAATCGGCTTCCATGGAGGTGGCCTCATCTGTTGATGCTCTGGTAGGCAACATCAGGCTGTTCGATGAAACCCATCTGGTGGTCACCGCCTCCAACTGGACAATGCGCTCCTTCAGCCGCTCATAGGTTGTGGTATTCGTCAACCACAAACGTAGATGTTGTCGAAAGGGGCAAGCCAACAGCACTGCGGCCACCTTGGCGTCGTCAGAGTAGGATTGTCCCGAAATCCTAAAATATGCGCCCGTAGCACCATGTGACCGAAAATGACACAGCCCTGTGCCAAATCAACAGGGCAAAGAACATGTGCAATCTGCCTAGACCGGATTTCTTTGCCAATCTGCTTTCAAAGTAAGAACAGGAAACTTTGCTTGACTGTACAGCACAAGAACATGGGTCGGACCCGCTGGGCTCATAGCAGGGTTCGAAGATTTCTGAGGCCAGGCCATCGTACTGACCACTGCGCAAACTCTCAGTAACACATTGATGCTCTGCAAACTCGCG